GAGAAATTCCTAAATGAAAACAATATTTTGTCCTCTGTAGTAAGAAAAAAAAATAAGAGAGATATCTTGGCCTCCAAGGGGAAGTGAGCAGAGGCATTCCTCGAGTCACGACCATAATTGAACCAGGCCATCATAAAGTGGGTCACCACAATAAGTGACCACTAATAAGTAAAGGACTACCTGTATTGGAAATTCATGGCATGGTCCAGGACCGTGATGGTGAACCTATGGCAGCGTGCCACAGGTGGCACTCAGATACATTTGTGCCAACATGCGAGCCACAGGAAAACTTACCTCACTACGCATGTGTGCGCCTCACAGCTGATTTTCCACCTGTTTGAGGCCTTTTCCGCCTGTTTGAGGTATTTTTGGAAAAATAGGAAGTGACGAAACAGGGCTAGTTTTCGGCCTGCAAAGCCTGCAGAAGCCTTCCTTCAAGCCTTTGGAAGGCTAAAAAAGGCCTTAAAGCGGGCCAAAATCAGCTGTGAGCTGTGTGCATGCCCAGTGAGGTATCCAATCCAAGCTAAGATGGATTTTTCCTTGTTAAATTTGCATAAATGCCAAGTAAAAAACTAACATAATGGATGTGATTCTTTCTTCTGGAAATTTCCATCTTATAGCTGTGATTTAAATTTAACTTGAAAAAGAGAAATAGACATGGAAATTGCAGAACTGCTTTGTTTAGTTCCTTTAATTGAGGCATCTTTGCACCCTGTTGAATTGGCACAGGAGAGGGCAAGCTGTGCCATTACACACCCAGATCGAGTTTGAAGATAAAACAGGGCTGCAATTGTGAAGATCTTCCTTGCACCAGAATGTCAAATGCAGAAGCTTCAAAGGCCTTGTTCCTTCCACAAGCTTTGCTTCAGAAGGTCATAAATCACAGTGTAGATCAGAAGAGGGAATTTTTGACAGCTGCAGCCCTGCTCAACCTTCCTCTTAAGCCTGAACAATTCAAACAGGGTGGGGAAATATTCCATGTTCAGATCTGGCACACTGTTCCTTCAGAACTGATCTGGACCTTCCTCCTTTTAAGCAACCCTTTTCCAATCCTGCCCTGCAGTGGCATCTAGAGAACAAGATCTTCTTTGTTATGGTTGGGGAACTTTCAGCAATGAAAGAAGAATGAGAAGATGACGAAGAGGCAGTTGAATAGAAGCAAAGTGTCCCTAATTATGGAAATACGGCAGTGGTTCTACTCCATTCTGCATTTATCAGCCTGACCTTGATCCATGTCTTGTTTGGAGCTACATAATTTAAGATCTTAGATAAACTGGAACAGAAGAGAGGAATGAGAGAAACAAGGGCAGGCTGGAAATTGAAAGCTGAGAATATTTAGCTTTGAAAAAAGAGGGAACGTGATAGTGCTTTTAAATACCCTGAAGGGGTGTCCAGTTACAGAAAAAGGTAATTCCCATCAATGACAGAGAAAAATTCAATTCCTTAAGGAGGTAGCAGCCTCCCTGAATTTGGATCCCTACACTGAACAAGAAACAAACTAGTGAGAGTAGAACTCCATCCTAATTTTGGGGTGGTAGAACATTTATATACCCCCCCAACCACATGTTGTAAGAGAGATCCTCCATAGCTAATGAACACAAACTTTCACTGACACCATAGACTTGTGTTTCTCAGCCTTAACTATTTTAAAATGAGTGGACTTCAACTCCCAGAATTCCCCAGTCAGTATGAATTCTGGGAGCTGATCCATGTATCCAGTCAGAGCTGAAGAAGCTTCTTGGATGAGAAACAAAACATCCTCAAACAAGAAAAAACAAACAAGTCCAGTTGCCTCTTGAAAAACATCTTGGGACTACCATGACCTACAGACTTTTAAGATCCATGTATCTTAAAGCTGCCAAGGTTGAGAAACATTGATATAGACAAACAACAATGACAAGGTTCCTTTCAGTGTCATATTAAAAAATACTCCATGTGTGCGTGTCTTAGTAACCTAGTGCAGGGTAAAATCAAGATGCCCTTGAGTTGAATTCGCAAAGCATGTCTGGGGAATTCTGGGAGTTGAAGTCCAGATATCTTATAGTCACGAAGGCTGGGAATCACTGTGTCAAGGCTCCGACTAATGAACCCAAGCAGATCAGAACTCCAAAGACTGGGCTCCTTCTCCAAGGTCTTCTTTACTGCGTATATCATATCGCACAGCTTCAATGGAAAACCAATTATTTTCAGTATAATTAAACTAGGAAATAGCCCCATCCCCAAGTGCCACAAGGTCATGTTGGCCAATTGAGTTAATTGTCAGGCTTTCCAGGCACTCCTTCCCCAGCCTTATCAGTTACCAGTAGAAGTGACCTTGGTTCTCAGGAGAAAGTTCTCTGTCATGTCTAGAAGGCACTCCCACCTCCTTCCCCGCCTGTGTGGAAACTGAGGAACAGAAAAATAGTTGCTGCCAGGTTCAAAGTTGACACACAGCTGTAAGGAATACATAAACATCCCGTATGTGAATGTTTGTACAAAAGTTCAGTTTTGAAGCACCTAGCACACTTTTAATGGTTATAAGGTCCAGCAAATATTCCCCTTCCCCCACTGTGGAGAACTCTACATTTTGTTTTCTCTGCCAAAACCAAAAACAAACCCCAACCCTTGGCTGGGCGTTTGGGGTTACTTCAGGAATCCAGATTTTGAGAAACAGCCCCAACACCTCCAATCCTAATACAGAAGATGTGGCTTTCACCACTGTTGTCCGAGATGATGCAGGTGGTTTGGGAAGCCAGTGTGAAGATCGGCGGTTAGTAAGATCAACAACATATGTATCCTGTTTCTCCTTTAAATGTCAAGTCATCTTCGAGTCATGCTTGATTTCTGCTGACCACACTGACACAATTTTCTTGGTAAGGTGAGGAAGTGCTTTGCCATTGCCTTCTGAGATTTCTTTTTTTCAACTTTCCAATCTATAGCTCTGGGATTTCCAACTCCAATCTCAAGAGTTACTGGGTCCAATCTAGTTTTGCTTTTTTGGACCCAGCCAAGGTCAACAGCTTGGCAGAATCAGCAATCCAACAAGCATACCCAAACTGCGATTTCCTCTTCGAATGGTATTTTGAGTTCTTCACTCCCATAACTTTCTTTCATTGTACAGTTTTCCTGCCTCAATTGTGGAAGTCAGGAATATCAACAGAGGCATAAGTTCCTTCTGCAAGCCTCCAATAAGACGGCTTGCAGAAGGAACCTATCCTAGGTTGATTGATTGATTACGTTTCCCTTAGCCTTCTTGTCTTTAAGCCAGTGTTTCTCAACCTTAGCAACTTTAAGAAGGAAGGACTTCAACTCCCAGAATTTCCCAGCCAGCATGGTGGCTAGAAAATTCTGGAAGTTGAAGTCCACCCATCTTGTTGCCAAGGTTGAGAAACACCACTTTAAATCCAACATATCCATCCTTCCCCCTTTAATTCATGGTATTCAGCATCCACACCCCTAATTGAATTGCAATACACTTAATTCAAGAGTTGAACTTGAAACAGAATGTACGAATTCAGCAACTTATAAGATGTGAGGACTTCAACTCCCAGAATTCCCCAGCTACTACCATACTAGCTGCCCAGACTGAGAACCAGTACTAATAGATTGATGATTTTCAATAAATCTGCAACCATTACTAATTTCACTTGTTTCACTATAGCATCCACTTAAGATGCATTCCTAAGACACATAATAGAAAGCTTTGGGGGAGAAAACAGGGTAGATGGATGTGGGAAAGGACTCAATTCTCCAGATTATTTTTGAAACCCAGTTTCTGAGTAACCATTGACTCAAAGTCATTTTTCTTCCTTATTCCTAAAGTCATTTCTTCCACAATTGTGCTGTACAACCTTATATGGTTTACTCCTTATGACAGGCACTGATTGATTTATCATCACAACTTCTCCCAGAATTCCAGAAAATATACAACACAGGAAGTATTCACTGTATTTTATCCCTACAACATCCCTGTGAAGTATATTTTTGGTCCAGAGATCCTTGCATCAAAAATCAAAAATCACCCAATGTGATGTACAGTATGGACAAGAATTAGGATTTAATTTGAGATTATTATGTTCAATTCCTGAACAATAACATTGCAGTACAGTGTTTTTCAATATTCTCAAGTCCACAGCAAAGCTGGCTGGGGAATTCTGGGAATTGAAGTTCACCTATCTTAACATTGGCTAGGAACTGGAAATTAAAAGCTATCTATCTTAAATTTGGCCAGGAAATTTAGGAGGTGAACTCCACCAATCTTCAAATTGGCTGGGGAATTCTGGAAGTTAAAATTCCAGCTATCTTAGAGTTGACTGGGAACTTGGGGAATTCAAATTTTCCTTTCTTAAAATTGCCACTAAACACTGCTTTAGTGGCTCTTACTCTGGAACAAGAACTTGGGTTTCTAACAACAAAGTATTTCTCTTCTTCACTCCAAAAACTTTACGTGCTTCTTTTGGAAGAACCTTAAACAAAACGGGTCTTAACTTCTTAAGAGATCTCTAAAGAAAGGCATCACAACATCTCACCCCTAAATGATGGAAAAATCCAGTTGCAACAGAAAAAAAAGCCAAAAATTACTTTATACCCCAGAGATGTCGGACTGCATCTAAAGACTACGTTTAAACAATTGCACAAGGATTATAATTTAACCGCGGAACTGAGTTTACACGAAACTATGGTTTACAAGCTCTAATGGCCGCGTTCGAACAATATACTTAGCCAGAATCACATTAGAAATTACGAACCGTATGAACTAGAACCAGGCCAGTGCATAGGCCATCTTTTTGGGCTAACCCTCCGAGTTAAAACTCGGCAGAAAAACTGTCTACTTCTGAGCAAAACTTGGGAGTAAATCTTCATTTCTTTCAAGCCGCCATCCTATTTCAGTTTTCTAGCAAAATACAAGCTTGGTGGTTGCGTTAGAAGCCTCAAACTATCCTCCGCGCGGTTGTATAAGCTGCGCGTTCATTTCAGAGGAAGGTTTGAGTAGAAGGATGGAAGCTTTCTCAGAGACTTACCCAAAAGATGAAACTGATAAATAGCAGCACGCTCTTGGAAACAATCACCCCAAAATCCATCTCGCCCTTCGAACTCTTTTCCCAAAAAGGAAGAGAAAAGGGAGGAAATTAGGCAGGCAGCAGCTCGTTCCGGACTGAGAAAGTAAACGACAGGCAGTTCTGGCTCGTGTGAAGAACTTTTTCTGAGACGCTGAACTTATTAAGCGCTGCCACTTTATCACATGATGTACTCGTAACTTGCTATTTCCTGGACAATGAAAACCAACACCTTACTGTAATTTCACCTCCCTCCCACCGCCATTCTTTTGATTAACAAGGCTACCGCAAACTTGCTAAAATAGCTGCAGAACAAAAAAAAAGAAAGAAAGAAAAAAGCGAGGTACCGGAGAGTTCCTAGTAGCAGGCTCTCCAGGAAAATTATTATTATTATTATTTTCCTAAACAAGATCTTCTTGTCTAACTAAGCCTGGTGCAAACGGCTCTATGTAGTATTGAGAGACTCGCAGGGCGGCGCAACGTGCAACATTGTTCACGTTGGTGCAATATAATAGAATGTATTGTTATGCACATATATATGTAGGGTATGAGATTTTCTTTCTTTCACTGTGAGCTATTGAGATGTGTTGGAGTGGGGTGCGCTAAAGGAGGCTCAGCCAATCTCACTGTACACATGTTGTGCATTGACAATAAAGGTTTGGGGTTGGTTTGGGTTTTTTTGGACAGGGCTGGTTGGGTTCACAAGACACGGTAGCCTAAAATCCAAGTTCATTGCTGTTTATTAACTAACTCAGGTTCCAGCAATGACAATGCAAATTGATTTATAAGGGGGTCCTTAGAGCTCCCTGAACTTGGTTGGTTTCTTTTCTTTTTTTGGCAAGAAGTTTCATTACCCAAACTAGATAACACCATCAATGCTGGGCCTAGCACTGATAATGTTACCTACTTTGGGTAATGAAACGTTTGTAAGAAAACAACCAAGCTCAAGAGAGCACCAAGAACTCCCTCAGTTCAACCCTCAACAATAAATATTCTCCTTTATTGAAACTGAATTATAAGCTAGTGTGTTAGCTGGGGCTGTATATTTTTCTTTTTGTCTTCAAGTCAGGTTGGCAAATAGAGGGATAAGTCCCTGCAGTTTTCTTGGCAACATTTTCAGAAATGGTTTAGCCTCATTTTCTTCTTCCTGAGGCTGGCCATATAATTTCCTAAATAAAGAAAAGCCTGGCTAAAAATGAAGATGCTGCAGGTAGTCCTTGACATACGACCACAGCTGAGCCCAAAATTTCTGTTGCTAAGCAAGACATTTCTTTAAGTAAGTTTTGGCCCATTTTACGACCTTGCTTGCCACAGTTGTTAAGTGAATCATTGCAGTTGTTAAGTTAGTAACATGGTTGTTAAGAGAATCTGGCTTCCCCGTTGATTTTGCTTGGCAAAAGTGTGCAAAAGGTGATCACGTGACCTTGGGACACAGCAACAGTCGTAAGTGTGAACCAGTTGCCAATTGTCTGAATTTTGATCACATGATCGTGGGAATGCTTCAAAGGTCGTAAATGTGAAAAGGGGTCATAAGTCACTTTTTTTCAGTGCTGTTGTAACTTTGAATGGTCACTAAATGAACTGTAAGTCAAGGACTACCTGTATATAATATAGGTGGTTCTTGACTTATAATAGCTTGTTTAGTGACTATTCACTTAGGCAACTGGTTCATACTTATGATGGTTGTGGTGTCCTGGGGTCACCTTGGGCGAACTTCTAACAAGCAAAGTCAATGGGGAAAGCTAGATTCTCTTAACAACTATGTTACTAACTTAACAACTGTGGGGATTCACTTAACAACTCTGGGAAGTAAGGTCATAAAAAGGGGCAAAGTCATTTAATAACTGTCTTGCTTAGCAACCGAAATTTTGGGCACAGCTGTCACTTCCGGTTTGCAGGGCTTCGGCGGCAGGCAGAAATCTGCAATCGTGCATGATTTCTGCCTCGGCTCGCCGCTGGAGCGCCCCGAGCCAGTTTGGCTTCGGGGCTAAGCCATGCTGTAGAGGTGGCGAAGATGGGGAGACTCCAGAAGGGTCAAGGAAAGCCGCATCTTTCCTCCTCATCTGGCTAAACTCCCTTTCCCGAAGGCGGTAAGAGCGGTGGTCAAAAATGGCCGCCTCAAAGAAGCACTCATCCGGAAAAGAAAGTGCAGGAGGAAGTTAAGATGTGAAAGTTTTGGCTGAGCGGGATAAGAAGCAACACCTGAGGTATCCTGGAATTTAAATTTTATAAAAGATACATCGCTCCCAAAGAAGATTCGGAAGCAGCAAATGAAAGTGAAAAGGGAAAGTTTTTTTTTTCTCACTCTCCTTCCTTACGTTGACAGCAGATGAATGAGAAATCGGAAAAATCCGCTTTGGGATTTTAACAGGTAATTAAACTGGAAAATTAAATGCCAAGGGGACAATAAAGATTTCTGAACACTTAAAAACCTTTTTTTTTTGCTGTAAGTGGGAAGGGAGAGGAAAAGAATAAGAGCAAGGTTTGGCTGGAGGAGGCTGCTTGGAATTTAAAAGAATCTAAAGTTAAATCGTAATAAGACTTCTAAAAGATACATTTTAACTGGAACTTTGTAACTAAATAGTAACCCCAGGAAGAGAAAGTGAAAGAAGAAGAAAGTGTTAAATGAAACAGCTTGTGTGTATTTGGATTGTTTGGTGACTTTGGGACTTCTGGAAATTATATTTGAATGATTAAAAACAATTGGGTGGTTGTTTAACAAATTTCTTACAATGGCATCACTTGTGGATGAACTGAAAATGGAATTTAAAAAATATAAAGAAGAGGAACAAGAAGGGAAGGGCTCTTTTGGCTCCGTTTTTCATTTCTTAGAAATGGCAATCTGTACCTATGAGAAACTACAAGAAAAGACTGCTCAACAAGAAGACTGGGACAAAGAAGAAGCCATCTTTAATGAACAAGTAACTTTATCTGGGGAAGAAAGGGGAAAGAAGGGAAAGAGAATGGAGAATTGAAGACCTAAAAAAACAACCAAAAAAGGGAAAAATAAGGTGAAAAGTGGATATAATGTCAGAAAGCAACAGAAAAGAGGAACACAGAAGAGGGAAATGGAGGTGGAGAAACAAGGGGGTAAAAAAGGTAGAGTGAAGAAGCAAGGGAGGAAGGAAGGGAAGAGAAGCTACAAAGGTTTGGAGCAAGATGTAAAGAAGCAGGACTTATTCAGAGATAATGGGTAAAAATATAACTGAAAATGAGATTCTGCAAAGGTACATAAGATTGTATTGTTATATTTGTATTAGAAATAATGTTAGAAAATTGGAACAATATATGATTAAAATATGGGATAAAATAGTGTAATTCAGTGAAACTTTTTTGAACAAAATAAATGAAATTAAATGAATGAGAGAATTGAATTAGGAAGGAATGGGAACATTTTAATTACACAACGTTTTAAAATATAAGTGAAATGGGGGGAAGTAACTACGTAAAATTTATAAGTGTTCCCATAGAAGCATGATACCTATTTGAAAAGTAATGTGTAAAATGTTTAAGATTTAAATGAATATTAATTTTAATGATAGAGTTGAATTGGTATGGATTGTTGTTTTAATTATATTATATACTTATAATTTCTTCTTTTCTTAAAATATAGTGTGTAGCTTTAGAATGTACTAAGCAGAATCCGAATGAAAGTTACCTATTATTATACTAAGTGTTATAAATTTAGGGGAAAGATATAAAGGCGTCATACTCCAATCAGTGATTACAGGAGAAATTTTGTTTTAGTGAGAAAAGATAATAGACAGCTGAAACAGGACAGACAAAGGATATAAATATAATGTTTTAAATTGAGATGAAATAAATAAAATAGAATTAAGAGAGTTAAAAGAGGGGAGAAGCTATATAGAAAATGTAGAATGGTAATAAGATATGGAATGGTATATAAAAATGAGCATGAACTTGAATTTGTGTCTGTACAAAGAGATGCAACCCGGGATCAAGCTGCTTTCAAAAAAGATGTTTTATGTTTTCATGTTTTGTGTTTTGTTTGTTTATGCTTGTTTTTTAAAAATCAATAAAATTTTTGGAAAAAAAAAGAAATGTTGGGCTCAGCTGTGGTCGTATGTCAAGGACTACCTGTAACATCTTCACTTTTACCCAGGCTTTTCTTTATTTAGGAAATTATATGGCCACCCTATATACTATTTAATTATTTGATTTTTATCCTGCCTTTATTACTTTATCAGTAACAAACATACATTATACTCCTTCCTCCTCCTATTTTCCCCACAACAACCCTGTGAGGAGGATTGGACTGAGAGAGAGGAACAGGCCTAAAGTCACCCAGCCAGCTTTTATGCCTAACAAGGGACTACAGAAGTGATTCACTATAATTGTGGGAGACTAGTGATATATATGAAGTCATTTAAAAAAATCCATATCCAACAAACAGCACTTGGAGCCCTGAAGTAACATCCACAGTAACAACAGCAGTCCCTGTACTAAGTTGGAGAGAACATCTGGAGGGCTTATTCACCTCCTAGTAGTAAAACAAGATTTTGTGAATGGCTACTGCTTGGCCCTTTTATAAGCACATCTCCCTAGTCCAGCATTCCAAAATGGGCCCACAGCTTTCCTTCAATTTTCAGCTTAGAAATTTATAGAATATAACAACTCTTGTGAATTTACAGGATCCTGTGGGCTCCCACCTTGCATTAAGCTATGGTTTATTTTAATCATGGTTTGTTAAATAAGCCATCTTGTCTGTATTTATAAACAATGGAAAATTATAAAACACGACTGGATTCACATAAACATTCCCATTCCCATTCAGGTTTAAAGACAGGACTGTCCCTAATTTGAGTCTCAGTGCAAATTTATTTTCTGTAAGCACTACTAATTTTAAAATTACCAAAGCTGAACACAATTCTATTGCTTTATTTTCCTTGAACCACTCTTATTTTACTTGCCAGCTTCTCTTAGAAGTAAAATAAAGAAACTTGATTGCTTTTCATTTAAGTTCACTTTTGAGCTACTTCAGCAACAATTATTGCATTTAATGAAACTAAACAGGCACTAGAGGGCAGAATTGTCCTTTTTAAAAAGAAAGATAGAATGGATGAAGTAAAATCATCTTTTTTTTAATAATTAGAAATGTCATGTTTTATTTTATTGCTGCCCATCCTACCACTATATCATTGAAAGGCTACAA